TAAGGAATTGACGACGTTGTTTACAAAGGTTTGGGAACTAGAGTGTGTACCAACGTCATGGAATGAGTCGATAGTTGTCCCTATCTTTAAAAAGGGTTCACGTCGTTCTTGTAACAACTATCGGGGGATAAGTTTACTTCCGATTGCGTCCAAGCTATTGGCTTCCGTCATTCTTCGTAGGTTGTTCAAAACCCGAGAAAGATTGACTCGCGAGGAGCAGGCTGGGTTTCGTTCTGGTCGAGGATGTATTGATCATATCTTCACCCTCCGCCAAATGTTAGAACACCGCCATACTTTTCAAAGGCCAACAATCGTAGTGTTTCTTGACATCAGGGCTGCCTTCGATTCGTTGGACAGGACTGTTCTCTGGGATTGTCTATTGAAGAAGGGTGTGCCTGAGAAGTTTATTAACATCCTGAAAGCCCTGTATAAAAACACCTCAGGCAGAGTGAGGGCATACAACCACCTCTCTCCATTGTTCCATTCGAGCAGTGGGGTTAGGCAGGGTTGCCCAATCTCACCATTCCTCTTCAACTTTGCCATCGATGACATTCTGGAAACAGCTCTGATGAATGTAAGTAATGGTGGTGTGGATCTGTTGCCTGGAGAAAGACTTCTCGACCTTGAGTATGCGGACGATATTGTCTTACTGTGCGATAATGCCCAAGGCATGCAATCCGCACTTAATCAGTTGGCAATCAGTGTCCGTAGGTATGGTATGTGCTTTGCACCTTCGAAGTGCAAAGTACTTCTACAAGACTGGCAGGATTCTAATCCTGTACTCACCCTGGACGGTGAGCAGATAGACGTAGTTGAGAAGTTCGTGTATCTGGGTAGCTGCATAAGTGCTGGTGGGGGTGTGAGTGATGAGATCAATGCACGAATAGTGAAAGCCAGAGCGGCTTATGCCAATCTGGGCCACCTTTGGCGCCTTCGTGATGTTAGTCTGGCTGTAAAAGGTCGGATCTACAACGCGTCGGTGAGAGCAGTTTTGCTCTATGCTTGTGAAACCTGGCCTCTCCGAGTTGAGGACGTTAGACGACTCTCTGTGTTCGATCATCGCTGTCTCCGAAGGATTGCTGACATTCAGTGGCAACACCATGTCAGTAATGCAGAGGTTCGGCATCGTGTGTTCGGGCACAGAGATGATAACTCAATTGGTGTCACCATCTTGAAACACCGACTTCGGTGGCTTGGACATGTTCTCCGAATGTCGTCCCAGAGAATTCCACGTCGTGCATTATTTGCCGACTCTGGGACTGGTTGGAAGAGCGGAGAGGTGGTCAGTGCATGACATGGTGTCGTGGCATGAAAGAAAGCTGCAAAGGACTGGCTTGTGTTGGTCCTTCACGACTCCCTGGTTGGGGTCCGAGAGATGGTGCTACACAGTGGCTAGAGACGTTATCAGATATGGCTCAGAATAGAAGCCAGTGGCGATCCTGCTGTAACCTTCTTTTACTTTCTTTCTAAAAAGTGGTTGTGTCTCCTTTACCTGAAAGATTTCTTCTGATTGTACCTTTTCGTTCCGTCGTTACTACCACACTACCTTACTCCAATCTCTTCGTCATTGTTCTCTTTTTCTTTTGCGTTCCCTAGTTTTTTTTTTTCTTTCTATTTCTCTTCGAATTTTCATTGTTTTGTGTGGCGCATATATATTGGCGCTCTCTTGTACCAATATTTATGTGTTCAAATAAATAAATAAATAATAAATAAGAGGATTTGTTTTTGTCTGTTGACCTGAACTAGATGTTGCTGGGGCAGATTTATGCGGGTTGGGTGGTTGTTGGAATACATGAACTTCGGTATGATCTGAACCACCACGCTGGACCATCGTAGTGTCACGCTGTACATTGATTTGACGTTGATGTTCGTTTGCAATATCATTAAGAGTTAGTTTTGGGTCTCGGTCCAATCGACTAAGCAAGCGTGTTCTAATGTCACTGAACTTCTGCGATTGAAGGCTGCAGGTGAGAATAAGGGCTTTGAATTGGTCTTCAGTAAGCGACTTCAACCGGAAGCGTTCGCATTCTCGGTTGACAATACCCACATGCGTGAGAAAATCAGCGTCTTCGTTCATAGCTTCAAACATCGATAACGTGCGTTGAACAGTGAAGAGTTATCTTCAAACTGTTGGCTCAATGACTGAACCGTGTCCGAGAATGAGCGGTCACTTGGGTTTAGAGGCAGAATTAAGTTGCAGTATCTATCTAATTCACTAGGACCCAGTTTTCGAAGCAGCAAACGAACTTTCCAAGCATCATTCTGATTAGCGAAATCAAATTTGAATAAGTCTTTATAGCGTCGAATCCACATATCAAATGTGACATTGGAATCAGGATCATAATGAAACTCTGAGATGCTATTCGCAATACCATCAACTGACGGTGCAGAAGTAGTAGTGTTAGAAGTGCTTGGTTGCGTGTTAGGCGTAAGCTTAGCATCTGCTTACATTTGCATCTAATGTCAATATAGTTCACGCAATGTCGAGTCACCTAGACTGGTGGTCACATTGCAACTCGATCGATAGCATTCGATCTGCACTAAGAAGGACTTGACACACATGACACTGATCACCACCAAGTGATCAATCAACTGTGGTATATATATATATTCTTTTTTCCCTCATTGGCTTATTATCATAGAGTATGTTGTCTAAGTATGTATGAGTATTCTCTAAACATTTCATCAATTACATTTTTTGTAAAACTGCTTTGAATATGAATATTTCTAAACTAACATCAAAAGCAAGTACATTTAATATTCTACAAATAAATAAATAAATACGTACCTAGGAGAATGTTAAGTCGTCTAATGTTGACATCGACTAGCCAACCCTATTAATTCAACTATTTCTGTGGACCAGTTTACATCGGCAAATGTTCTAGGAATTTTGCTTTTCCATTATTTATTTGAACACATGAATATTGGTACAAGAGAGCGCCAATATATATGCGCCACACAAAACAATGATAAGTATGGCGGTGTTCTAACATTAGTCAAAAAGTCACCACCATCTTTAAAGAGCCGGAGGTAAGTCATCTGGGCCAGGTGATTTGTAACGCTTCGAGAGTTGGAGTTCCTTGCGGACTTCCTCCTCGTTTGGTGGATCAGTCGTCACCGGCCATGGAGGGCAGGACAGTTTGACCGATGTTGCCGGAGCAGCAGGCCAGTTGAACTGCCCTTCGAAAAATTCTGCCCAGTGTCCAAGACGTCGATGGATGTTAGTGATTGGCATCCCATCATCCTCGCAGATTGTTTCACTCACACCAGACTTCTTGCTGCCAGTGGCTCGGATGAGTTGGAAGAGCTTCCGGTAGTTACCAGATGCAGCTGCTGCTTTAAGCTCATTAGCACGCTTCGATCACCAGGCTTCTCGGCCCTTACGCAAGCTTTGCCCAATTTCCTTACGTAACATCCTTCGTTTATGGTCAAACTCACGGTCGCCCGGAGTAGACCGACGGGCTTCAATGAGTTGTAAGGAGCCTGACGAAACCCAGTGCTCATAAGCGGGACGTTTCGCGAACCCCCAACTGACTGTACCCTCCATTTTCATGGCGTCATGCAATTGCAACCAATGCTCATCTATACTTTTCGGTGGAGTGGTAGCTAGCCTAGAGGCTAGCTCGGTTCGATACTTACTTGCAACAGAAGTTGAAACCAGCTTGCTAACATCAATCCGTTGATGGCGTTCACTTCGTTGTCCACTGAAAAGTAAGGCAAGATTGGCGCAGACCAAGGCATGGTCAGAGTCCAGATAGGTGCTCCAAAAGGAGCGGCAGTCTTGTACACAACCACGCCAGCGGTAGCTGATCGCGATGTGATCAATCTGAGTCCAGGCTTGAGATGCAGAGGGAGGACGCCAGGTGGCACATCGGCGATGACTGTGCCGAAAGTTAGTGCTAGCCAGAAACAGGTTGTGGTCTGTGCAAAGTTGCAGTAGAAGGTCCCCGTTATCTGACCTGCGATCAACGAGTCCCCATTGGCCACTTAAACAACTCTCTTCTGTGCCTAGACGCCCGACCTGAGCATTCAAGTCTCCGGCTAGTACTACAATATCTGTCGAACGCACTTTCTGGAAAAGAACAGATAATTGGTGATAAAACTCATCCTTGATTGCATCCGGGCTGCAATCTGTCGGGGCATAGGCGGAGATGACGAAAAGACATCGTTTCTCACGCCGATTTCTTCTCACTTTGATGGAACTTTCTAATCTAACAGCACATAACCGACTGTTAATGGGGATCCAATCGACTAGTGCTGCCTCAGCTCTAGCGCTTAGTGCGACACCAACGCCAGCAAGACCAGACGAAGATGCCACAGGGTCCCCGGACAAACGCACGTAAAACAAGCTTTTCGAAGCGACAGATGAAGAGCGAATTTGTAGTACTTCGCCAGAGTCTTGAATACGGGTCTCAGATTTACAGCAAACATCGATATTAAGACTTTCTAAAGACATAGCCAGCCCTATCTGTTGTCCGACCTGCATAAGTGTGCGAACATTGAAGGCAGCCAGTTTGAATGGTGCACGTGGTTTCAGGAAAACTGCTTCAGTACTCATATTCGGTGGTAACATACAATTTTCAACCGGACAGTGACTCGAGAACGTTTAGATACAGTCGAATTTCCACCAAAGACGAGCCGCTGTATAAGTATAAAAGAGGGTGAATAATGTGGAAAATAATAATAATAATAATAATAATAATAATAATAATAATAATGACAGTAATAGTGATAATAATAATAATAGTATTAATAATGACAATAATTGTAATGATAATAATTTGAATCAATTGATTGTTTTTCGAAGCGCTTTTCCATACACTCAAGCACCTTTCAGCGTGGTCAAACAATTACCTAGTTAAAACAGTCGACGGCTCTGTTCAAATTGACTATACAGATTCTGCATAAATCGATCGTTTACAGTAGTTTGTCGTGTTAGTGATTATCTACTAAAATCAATCAAATCATCCAAATATGTTTATTTATTTATCAACTTTTAGATGCCTTGGATTGGGTCGGCCATTCGCAATTGAAATTAGCAACTATGAATTATTACCGTCACAAATTATTCAACAATGGTCTGTTAACGATAAACTTGCCGTAGAATGTAATGAAAATGAACCATTGGATTTATTGAAACTTGCATCGTTTGTCAATTCGACAACTCAGGGTCGAGTGTTTATACGTGATTTACAGGTTGGTAGAGGGGAAAATGTGCTTTTCTTCTCATTAGATAATGGAACTTTCTGTCCATAATAATCTTTTTCGATATTGCTAGACAATTTTGTTTCATTGATATTAAAACAAAAATCTGACATTTGTCTGATTAAATTGAGGAAAAAACAATAACAACCGTCAGAAGCCCTTGCACGTATCTGAATGCTGGAGAAAGACTGAAAATACTTCCTTCAGTCAGCGTTCAATAGGCGATTCCCAAAGAATTTTTTTTCATACTTCTAACCTTTTGTCTTTCGTTCGTTGTTGAAGCATTGAAGATTCTAGGGAACTGGAAAACGATTTGAAGTCAGTATCAGGCATCTATCTAATAGGCATATCAATAAATAACTTAAACTTGCGACTTTGGAGGTTTTACGATAGAGAAGATTTAGAGTCAAATTAAAAAGTGGTATTTGGTCAGAATTGGTTTTTTAGACAGTGTAATGTAAGATTGGTTATTGGCGTTTGATATTTAAAGCAAGGTTAATTACTGCACATGACTATAAACATTTGCATCCAGATTATTTTATGCGGGATTATCTAAAAATAATCAAGATCGCAACAAAACAAATTAAACCAATTCGATTAATTTCTACCTGTTCTATAAGTCTGGTTGTAGGTTTTTGATAGTATCTGAATATTTTGTTAGTCAATATGAATACTGGTGATAAAAGAAACCCGATTCGATAATGAACGCATCATTTCTCTGAACATATTGGGCTAGTAAACATTACTTCAATACACGTAAACAATGAGCGGATCAGCAGTACAAAAATCTAAAGTTGTTTATCTTTTTTGGCCTGAATTTCGTTTCATCAAACGCCTGTCGCATGACAGAATTAATTGTAGTAGAATATAAGCACAAAAAATTCTCCCTATCGTGTGGTGCGTGCTACTTATGTCGATGTAAGTAGTATATAACGCGAGTTAAAAACGCAATGTCTGGCAGCAGAAGATGGGGGAAGATCAAGAAAGGAAGAGCGACAACTCAATATAATTTGTAAGAAAACGCATGAACAATGAAATGTGAGACAATGGATTGATGTTTGCAACAGGAACAGTACAGGTTGATATGATGCATTGATATTTTGCAAATTAACGATTTACTGTATGGTTTTTTTATTTTACCAAGTAACTCTGTAATTTGTACTAAATACAATTCCGGTTGTCCTCACTTGTGTTCTTCTTCACTACAGTCGGACATATACTTTCAATATATAGAATATTCAAGACGAAATTGTACAGTATGATTACCTCATTTTACAGAGCTAAAGCGACTTTTTATCAACTCTGGTTGAATTTAATCACAACTTTTATACAAAATACACTTTTCAATCTATGGGAGTTTTTCTTCTAAATGATTTTTGAACTAACAAGATAACTAATGATATCACAACCATTGTTCTTCATAGTGACGATATTGCACTTCACCTGAAGCTAGAAAGTATTAGAAAAACTTTTTATTCTACTATGAGATTCTTTATCAATACACAACTGCAACATTACATTAGATGTCATGGTCGCAGGAGCTTTCTGAAGCAGGAAACTTTAACTATTGGGTCCCCAATCAATAGTTTAAAAGTATCGTGGTCGCCGTGAGATCTTCAGATCGTGGTCTCGACACATCTCGAGGTTGAAAAGTCCCAGATGAAGACGGAAATCCTATCCAGTGTTCCCTTGTTTTCAACTGATCAGTTATGATTATCTTAGTCTGATGAATGACCTTAAGTAACATGTGGATTTATTTTACACTTTAGAAGTTTTTTTGACGTAGTTGATATTATTGAATAGTAAATATTTCGTATTATTTTAGGTTTCTGTGTAAATAGGTTTGCAAACAATTCGTACTTGTTTCAAAATATAATCGTTTCTGTTAATTTACATTTACTTACTTAGTTAGTCTCGTCAAAATCTGCTACAGCCGCATTAAAATTAGGTGAAATGCACAAAGCCAAATGTTATCGAGCTGTTTGTTGGTGTCCTCATGGTGGAATTAAAACTGAATTACTTATGAAAATGTTACAGTATACCACTTTGTTAAATCGAACAAATGAAAATCTTGATCATGTTAACATCATTCATTGGCCTCCTAATAAAACAGACTCTATGAAGTATGGGAAAATTTATTTTGGTCCACTGGATATTAATCAACTTACACCTATACGTGTATTGCATAGAAGACCATTGTTAAATCGTAAAAGAACCATTTATCATTTATGTTTCATGTCTTATGTGGAAACAATAAAAGCTAATATTTTCGAGGTAAAATTATGGATTGATATTGTCTTTTTAATTATAGTAGTATATATATATGCTCCGAAAACATTGAGAAGCATCTTATCCAATCAGCGTTCACTAGAAGTTTTGCCAGAAACATGTCGAGTTTCTGATTGGATGATTACTTATACTGCTACTATGTTTAGTAGCATTCCAGAATTTTTGGGAAGCCCAAGGATATCTAAAATCCTAATAAAAACCCTACATTTTATGTACATAAATGAACCTTTGGAGTAAAGTGTTTCTTACATATTTCGCGCCTTTTCTCTCGTATTCAACCAGCTATGTAGTTCTAGTCTGAGGGTTACTAGAAGAGCTTAGGAACCAAATCTAGAGTTCAATTAGCAAGACTTATCAATTAACACAAAAGTATTATCATTTTATGTACTACGTGCTTTAATCAAATCTCAGTTCTGCTAACGACTTCTGCAAAACGTTTTTTTTATATCAAGATTGAACCGTTGATTAAATATTTTTAACATAATAAAAAAACCCTCTAAACCATTTACTTGTTAATAACCTAGACGACATACTGATTCACTCACTATTAAACGGACGAATTAAATGCCCACTACTTTTTAATATATTTTTTTTCAACTTGAATATAATTACTTTAGATTAATTTATTCTTGTTAGTATGACAATCATTAATGGATAATAAGCTAACCAATTCCTTCCTTATTGAAACAGTCTATTTTTAGTATTTGTACAAGTAAGGAGATAGTAAAAAGGGTACATTGTATTACTTCGTAAGTTACTATCACAAATGGAATCAGTAAAAAGTTTAATAAACACCACAAACTATGAGCATTTCCCTGACTAGTATTCTTTTGAGTGATCTTAACTGTACCACTTATAAGATATTTATAGTTTATGTCAATTTAATGTTTACATAAGTGCTTTCTAATGATTTTTAATAGGAACCTAGTGATTTCTTCGTACGACTAGTTTTTCCAATCTTTTAAATAAGTTATTGACACATGTTTCTGTCAATTACTTTATTATTAGTTCGGATACATATTTGTGAAATCAGTTCATCAAAATGAATGATTGGACTTAGATATTACATCTTCAGTTGAATTGATTTCATGGTACATCTTGTTCTCTTGTTGACCGAAATATGACTCATCAACTCATATTTAAACTGGACCACTGAAAAACAACTATCTAGCCCCTGAATTTTTAATCTTGAATATGATTGAACAATATCATAATCTTACGTTTCTTTATGCCTGAATATTAAATATTCCGTTATACCTGTACAAGTATGATCAAAATTGGTCTATGAGCATAATCAAATAGATGAATATCACAAATAAGCTTCATGAACTGCAAAACAATACACAATTTGCTATGTTTGAAGCGATTACGAGTTCACTTAGTCTGAGAATGGAACAAAGACTCTGTAACTAAAGACCAATAAGCTAGCTATTCTGATGAGTCCCAGCCCCGCTCAATAGAGAGAGAAGTCCAAGTTCGAAACGGTGAAATATATTCCGCAAGCAGCCAGAAGCATGAACAATAACAACAGGCGCAAATCAAACGTATATATACTGTATAAAATTGTCCTTGGGAAGTGTTGCAGAATAGCATACTAAAAAATACAAAGAACCAATAGCGTTTAAGATTCTCCCAAGTGGGAAATACGACATGAAGGTGAAAATAAGCGCTTTTGGAGCAAAAACAATTAATTCAGTTTTTTAAAATAAAATTACAAAATAAGGTATTTACTAAGTGAGTTCTGGGATCTAACATCCCCAACACAATCCTAGTTGTGAGAGAAATTGTAAATTCCCGACCCGGGCAAAAAAACAGTATGCACATTGGCAGTTTATCATTAAATACTATCAATTGAGAGTAGACTTTATAATTTCAACATTAGGTACAACTTAAAAAGAATCTCCAGAACACAAGCAAAGTGTCTATTAATAATTTCTGATTTTATCTAAAAATAAACTTTAAATGTATGAGCTTCATTTCTAACTTAATGTTCCAGACAAATATTTGTTTGTTTCACGATATATTGTACATCTACTTGTTTTCTATATTCATAGTTCGATGACTTTAAATCATGGTCAAAACTATATCCAGAAGATGAACTGTTCATATTAGAAATTCGTTGTGAAGCTGGCACCTATGTGAAAGAACTTGTTCATGGAGATCTTGGCCGATGTAATCCTAGCTTAGCAAGTATATTTGGTTGTCAATTAGATATATTAGCGTTGGATGTAATTGGTGTTGAACTTGACTGGCCTACACGTCTAAAAGATCCTATACTCAATTAATTTGTAAAGTGAAAATATTTTTATTGTAAAAAATTTATTTTTAACATAAACGTAATTTCTTTATCAAGGCATTGTATATTCCATAATAGTTGATATGCAAGACCAAATTGATTGGTCTCACTTATCACATTCCCTTTTACGTTATTTGTTCCAACAATAACTACCTAGTTAATGATAAAGCTTTTTTATCACAAAACCAACTGATAACTACCGAATAATTCGTCTGGAATACACATGATTGCAATCATAGCCAGCAATCTTTAGCCACGACAAATCTGAACAATCACTTGTAATGATGTGCTAACAGTATCCTTGTTTCAGGTTTGGCAAAACTGTAAAATTAGTTTGTTCATCTTTTAATGAAACGATAACTTGAGTATAATCCCATAATTATAGGCAAACGGCATCATAAATAGAAAAACTGTATAATATAACTTGTGGACATTTGCTTACTTTTCCAATACAATTAACATCACGAAATCACTTAGTCGAAATGACCGAACCAACATCCATACACCCACTTATAAATGGCAGTCGTCCGTTTAGTTTAGACACTCGAGTTCCAACCAGACGATTCGAAATTGAAAGTTCACATCTGAACAACTACCTTATAGCCTGATTCATGGATGTGTAAGAGGTGACTGTCAAAGTGACCGGCACATAATAAATGTCAGGAAAGGACTATCAAGCAATCTGAAGATTCACACACCATTCAAAAAGGCCAGTGAACTGTTCAATTAATTCACGAAATGATTTATTTAACAAGACAGTTAGTTGACTGACTGAACGAAATGGCCCCAAACGGCTAATAATGGATCTCCTGTCATTCACTAAGTATTTCCTTCAGTCATTTACGACGTAAGACCAGGCACAACAAGATGAACATCAAATTCATTGAAGCAGTTACTTCAGTGGTAATAAAAAAGATTTCATATAAGGACATGATACAGGGGGAAAGAATTAGTTCGTAGAAAAAAAGGTAAAGTAATTCTAATCTCACCGTTTAGGGGAAGTCTAAGAGTGTATACACCTACTCCATTGTGATCGATTCTGAGCCATGTCACTCCAACAATTGGTTACGATAGTTACGCGGACCCCAAACAAGTAGTCTGCATCTACCAACATGACTCAGACCAGAAGTTAGTAACTTCAAGCACTGATGCCATGTTTTGGTTTTGCTGCTCCTAACTTTCTTCCAACCATCTCCAACACTAGACAGCATTGCGCGTCATGGTAATCGGTGTTCAGACATACGCAACAGGCGGCCCAACCATCTCAGTCGATGAAGATTCACAATCTCATCAACTGGTTTACCATCATTCCCAAATACTTTGCGTCTAACCTCACTATTACCTGCCCCGTAATCCCAACAATATTTCTAAGACATCTGTGATAAAATATTAGTAGCTTACGAGTATCTTCTACTCTTAATGGCCACGTTTCGCAGCCGTAAAGTAGGACAGAACGGACTGCCGCGCAGTATACTCATCCTTTTGTTGATAGACGGATATCTCGCATTCGCCATGAGTGACGTAAGTTGGCGAAAGACAAACGAGCTGTTTGAAGCTGTGCTGAGATTTCGTCAGACACCAACCCATTAGGGTCGACCAAACTTCCAATATAAATGAAGTTGTCGACGTGTTCGACTACTTCACTCCCTATCCTTAGTTCAGGTGTTGACGCAGGCCAGTCCTGAAGCAACAACTTGCATTTAGAGGATGAGAAGCGCATCCCAAACATTCTGGCATTGTTGCTCAGTGTTATCAAGACTCTGCATTTTATCAGCGTCATCTAGATTCCTAAGTGGATTCCCTGGAAGGAGATCAATGCCCGAAAATTCAGTCGATGAGAGAGTTATTTCCATCAGTATGCCTATGATGAAGTTGAATAAAAATGGAGAAAGTCGACAGCCTTGACGGATACCACTTGAGGTTGCAAAATCAGATGACAGTTCGCCGTAAGCTCTCACTCGACTAGTAGTGTTCGAGTAAAGACCCTTCACAAGGTTTATGTACTTCTGAGGTACGCCTTTCAATGACAGACACTGCCACAGAATCTCGCGGTCTACCGAGTTAAATGCTGCTTTCAAGTCATGAAAGACTACCATTGTCGGACGCCGATAATGATACCTATGTTCTAGAACCTGACGAATGGTGAATATGTGGTCGATGCAGCCACGATCAGGTCTGAAGCCAGCCTGATTTTCACGTGTTTGCAGTTCACGAGTCCTAGTTAGGCGCCCGATAATTATTGAGGCTAGTATTTTAGATGCTATATTAGTCAAACTAATCCCTCTATGGTTGTCACAGGATGATTTTGACCCTTTCTTATATATTGGGACGATAAGTGATTGTGACCAGTCAGATGAGATCACGTCCAACTCCCAGACCTTAGCTAAAATATTAGTCAACCTAATCGCTAAAACTGGACCACCATCCTTAAAGACCTTTGGAGTTAATCCATCTGGGTCAGCTGCTCTTCCTCATTTCAGATTGTTTATAGCTTTTGGAACTTATATTACAGTCGGGGGACCTATTTTAATGTCCCATTCAGGCTGTTTGGAAATAGTGAATAGTTGTAAAGTAGCTGAACTGCATCTTAAAGTTTTCCATTCAGTTTCAAACCTCTAGACTGAGAGCATGTAAAAGTGCCGTCATTCCCCGTGATTGTCTCACTCAAACTTAACTTCCTAAATCCGGTTTCTTTTATTAGTCTGAAAAGCTGTTTGTGTCACCTACATCTACTGCCTTCCCATCTATTTTGCTTTCGTTGCCAACCACTCACGATCGTTTCGTAGACTTTTGGTTAGCTTAGATGTGATTTGTTTTCGCTCTTCATCGTGTTTGGAGCATGATAGGATAGGTTTACGGTAGTCTATCAGTGCAATAGATGTCGCAGAAATCTACTGGTTTTCCGTAACCCTTTGGTTCAGATCACTGAAAAATTTCGTAGCTGTTTGTACATGTTCCCAAGCAACATCTGGGTCAGCCTCGTTTTCGAAAATGCCTAAGTGTGGCTTCAGTTGTTCCTGAAATCCAACTTTGGCTTTTATAATCAAAACTTTCTGATGGTTTTATTCACAGAAGATTTACAACTGAATAGAAATAAACAAACACTGTTGAATGGATTTTGTACAATTGCACATAATATTACACTCTAATGTAATGTAAACATTTTTCGGAAAAAAGACGTGGAAAATAACAGAAATTAATCAAAACGTCCTTGAATGTATCCAATATCGCAATTCAACTGGACAATTCGGATAAGTATCTAAACAAGCGGTGAGAATATCACTGTCTACATAACAAAATAATGGACGATAATTTGGTAAAGTAGATGATGAACTCCAAATGGCCTTATTGTTGGATCCAGCGGTCGATAGACCAGTGGATGCAGTGATTGCAGCTTTACCAGATATAATCAGTTCAAAGTCAATCAGATTGTCTAATGCTTTCATAACAACCGGTTTATCGTATAAATGACCAGGACAATTGGAACGACAAAACTTTAAGTATTCTAAGGGAAAAAAGTAGAAGAAAACTGAAATACAGAGATAGCTAGGAATAAAAATAATAATTGTAGAATAACGTAAATAATGTGATTATACCAAATATGAAAGTTCATGCTTCCCAAAATAAATTTGCATGACTCAGTACAGTCATAGTAGTAGTTTGAAACAGTCATTCAGTTATTTCGATCATAACTGATTAGTCGGTTACTGAATTATACATAATGGTCATCAAATAATCCAGAAGCTCTCATTAACATCAACAGTGCTAATATGATTCGAAAAAAGTGTCAGATGAATCAGTCCATTTGTTATAAACGCTGCCAGACACTTGGTAGTAATGGATGAGGCTTTAGGTAATACTGGTATAACAATGAATAAGATGTACATGCATTACAAGTAACACTTATTATAATCCTTATTTGTAAACCTTCAAAACAAAACAAGATGTTTAGAAAGTGGTGCATTGATAAGTCAGACTGATAAAAAGACAACTAAGTAACCAGGTATAAATTCATGTACTCTATTATAAACTACATTTACTGTGCAAGATCGAAAGGTTTTGCTTGGCTTATTTATTTATTTAAACATAAATATTGGTACAAGGAGGCTTATATATTATATATATATATATATATTCGATTTGTGTGAGCTGGGGTACTGCTCGAGAGCCCAAACCGAAGAACGTAATCTTCTTAGAAGGCCACTACCCGATCGTTTGACCTAGAGGTCTAATGCACAAGACAGTGGAGCAACGTCAGGAGATGCGGTTCCATGGTAGCCGGTGGCCAACGATTGGTTCATACGCCACTTGTCCTGGAGTCAGTATGCATCAGTGATTTGGAATCAGGGTTTTCCAACTCTCCCAGGTGGATCCTCCGTATCCACCAACCTGGTTAAATTGCCATACATTCGCTTTCCGTCCTCTCAATTTCGTAAAAAACATCCGCACCACGAGAAGGCAGTGAGTAGGACTTCCCTGATAGTGGCTACACACGCGTGGCCATGTGAGAGCATTTTGAGAGGAAGAATGGACTCTCCCGACACGGCCGTTCTAGGGCATTCGGGAGCTATTAGATATGAGTTAAGAAAACCTCTTTATTACTTTTTTTACCGTTAACAATTTTGTTACTGAATCATACCAAAATACAATATTTAAGTACTGATTTGTAAAAGACTAACTTACCAGAATACAAACTCTCAAAGTTAACCGGTTTTCCATCATTCATATCTTGAAGTTTGACCATGGCAGTAATTAAAAATAGCTCCAATACGGAACAACCTATTGAACACGAATAAAAGGAAATAACGTGTTTCTATGTAAATGCAAGGTTTGTAATAAAATCTTGATTCCAAGGAAATATAATTCAGCTCAACAACCATATAGATATTTGCATCTACAAGTTTGCTGTAAAGATACACTATGAAGGCTAACTGTGCTGTCTGACTGCTCAGTCTTCCTTTGACAAAGAAAATTTGGATCCAGTGATGC